ATCAGCAGATAAGGAATCTTTAAAGAAAACTGTTACGATAAATAATGCTAAGGTTTCCGCGTTGGTAGATACGGGCAGTGAAATTACGCTGATAAGAGAAAGCGCCTTCGCTGAAATAGGAGCGCCGCGAGTGGAAGATGAATGGGTCGTTTTCAGGGGTTTGGGTTCRGGYTTGATTAGGACACTAGGTCATTTTACGGCTGYTATCGGGGTTGACGGGGAAGAGTATGAAACCAAAATACATTTAGTACCTAAYTCGTGTATGCGCCATGACCTCATCTTAGGAACAAATTTCCTTGACAACGTGAAATTGTTGATAGAGTCCGGGCACATTGAGATCCGGCGTTCGGGAAAAGCGCAACCAATGGAAGGCAATCTGCCGAACGTTTTAAGTATAAATGTTTGTGGCTCGGAGAGTCGAGTTGRTAAGGATGGGATCTGTGGGGAAGTCGCTGCAATTTTAGAAGATACAGATTTTATTACAATTTTAGCAGAGAAGGTGAGACAACGGTTAGAGGAAAAGTTAGGTGTAAATTTTTCAGCAAGAAAAGAGGAAGTAGATGATTTAGTTTTAGAGGGTTTACAAGTAAAGCAGGTCAGCGAAAGGGGAGAGGGTTTAAAGCCCGCAAGGGGAAGTCCAACTAAAGGAACATCCAGTAAGCGTAAGAGGGATTCTTCTGCTCATGAAGAAAGYGTTAGTGATAGTGATATCGACGAATATTGGGTTAAAAACAAGAAAACTCCTAGGAACASTGTTAAGAAAGGTAGTGGTAGGGGCAAGGGTGGAGATCATWCTAGCGCTATTACATTGTCTCCTAGACTAGCGGTAAAATTTAAAAAGRCCAGAGCATTGCGAAATAATTRTCACGAAATTKGTAAGCGGGTGAAAACGAGGGACAGAGGAAGACCAGAACGTAAACCGAAAAGAAAGAAACRTGWAAGCATTAGGGAAAAATATGTTGGAAGCTATAGTAATAATTTTCGTTCTTCTTAAGTAAAGACTCAATTTACCGTTTTGTTCATCTAGTAGTTTCAATTTTGTATGACTAGTTCATAAGATTAAACATATTTGACTTTTTATATTATTAGTAGTATTGTGTAATTGCGTTAAAACTTTGTACAGTGGTGTTGCGAGACAAAAGCGATGGAATGAATTTWAAATGTAAACGTGTGTGAGAGTTTAAGATGTGAAGCAAGTAAGAGTGTGAAGTTTTCATATTTTAAATCGAATGTAACGCAGCGTTGTCGCTTGTAATATGTGTAATTTCGTTGACAGTTTGTATAGCGTAAGCATTTGTGTTGGTTTTTAAAAGAATGAATATCTGAGGCCAGATATCATTTTCAGAATGGTCGAGTGTGGGAGTAGGAGCGTCTGTTGCATGTGTGTGTGCGTGTGCAGCGTGAAGAAGCTTCAAGGGTACGTTGCCTGGTAGCATAAACAGGGGCAAGTTCGTGGCGTTTTGAGTCGTAGCCATGGGTGAGCGTTCCCTGGCAGCGYAAACTRAGACAAACTGGTTGCCTGGCGAGATGTTGCCACGGGAGTATCGCCTAGCAGCCAAAACAAGGGGGCTTTAATATATAAATGGGGAACAAGAGAACAAGAGAGAGATTTAGAGAGAACTATACGTGCGTACGAAGGTGTGATCGAGTGCGATAAAAAGGCGATTAATAAATTAACGATTTGCGAGATAATTTGAGCGAGAGTGTTTCCGGAGAAGTAGTTTAGTGYGTTCMTTTACTTTTGGTGTGTTTATTCTTGTTAACGTTTGTTTTTGTGTTCATTAAAGAGTTTTTCCTTAATCTTCTGTGTGGTACCGGTTTTCTCGGGGAATTCGGATATCCTTAGCTGGATACATAATAAGTGTTTTCCCTACANAGCTTATCAAAGTGTGTACACTACGAGTCTCAAATTTCAGCCCCGTGGTAAGCTCCACCGATTCACGCTGGGCGTTCAACATCCTGAAAAAATATTTGTATTTTATTAAAAAATTAATATTAGTTAATAATAAAATTTTTATTTATTCATGGGTCAGTACATGTCTTTGGATATTTTTTATAAAAACAAATAAAAATCAAACTTAATAGACATATTTTGTCTTTATGAATCAAATAAATATATTATTATAAATAATTATTTTAATTTTTAATAAATATGTAATTTTTAATAAATTAATAATTATTTTAATAATTATTATATATAAAATATTATAAAGAAGCAAAATATATAAATGTGACAGAAATTTACTTGCCTTTGAATGGAATTTGTCAGCTGCTGCTATTGTATTCTACAGTGTTATCTAATTCTTTTTCTCTGATGTATCTTGTAATCATTCATTTTTTTAAAATATTGCGGACAATACAATTATTATATATTCTATGTATTTATATAATATAATTATAATATTTGCGAAATAAATAATTTAATATTAATTTTTCAATAAAATAGAAACATTTTTAAATACAAAAAAAATGACACGTTTGGGGAAAAAAATAATGGACGACACATCTTCTTTCTTTATTTCGACCGTCGGTTCGTTTGTACCTTATTCTTTTGTCGAGTATCTACGTGCTTATCTCTATTTATTCTTCTACCTTTCGATCGCTCCTACCTACAAACCTTCCGAGTATCGAAAGAATACGTGTCCACGCTTTGTAGTATACAGTCGCACACAAACACACACACATATACAAACAGGAGCGATAACTACGAAGCATAGCATAAAAAGGAGACCGAGAATAGGAAAAACTGTATAGCTTTATTCCGTCTCATTCTCTCGCAGGATAATTCCTATATGTTTGTCTCTTTTTCTCTCATTAATTAGTATAGCAACCGTTTCATAGCTTCGTTACATAGCTGCGTTTCCGTTTATTTACTTTTCAGATCACTCCTATTCTAAAGAAGTTTTCACTTCAAAAAAAAATTGTAGAATGTTTGTCGATGGAAAGATACCCCGTCAAAACCTAAGTAAATATATCCTTTCTTGAAACTGAAGTAGACGCGGATTATGTCCACCAAATATCGCGGGAACTTGCAACGCTCCATCACCCTGATTATAGCGCCCCACGGAACCGAGTTAAACGCGTTCACGATATCCAAGGAGACCATCACCACCACGAGGCCATCCCCAACGCATGCGTCCACGACCCTCCTTACCTTTAGGATGGTATCGATTTTTGATATCCCGACGCGGAAGCCAAACTGCACAGATGACAACGCGTTTAACCTCTCCAAAACCCGGTAATCTTGCTCGCTATGACCCTCTCAAATATCTTACCAGCTTTGTCTATGGCAAATTGGCCTGTACGAGTTCAGAAGATTCGGTGTTAGATCCCTCCTCTTTTCGATGAAAGCCGGCTTAGTCCTCTTCCAAAGCGTCGAAAGACTCCAGACCCCAAACAGACCGAGAAGCAGTCGGCCAATCCCTGGCTCCAACGTGACACAGCGGCCCGCACGAACACGCCCGGAACCACATCTGGCCTAGTGGTCTTTTCCCCGGATATCTTCCTCGCGACCTCTTTTCTGGCAGCGATGACACCTCACGGGTTTCTTTGCTACCGGATAAACAGACCTCTGCGGCCGTCCACCCAACAACAATCCATCTTCTTTTCAGAGCTGCACGTGCAATAACAGATAGGGTCGATCTTGACCTTACTCAGACCCTCCCAACCTGCCCATCCTAATCGCGCCGATCCTCATACTGTTGGGATCAAACCCGGACTTCAGCTTCATCAGGGCATTCCTAATAACCGTGCTCGTCGCCGCAGCATTAGGGCCCACTAGCCTTAACTCCTCCAGCCTTCGAGGACAGCTGATCTGTCTTCCGGATCTGATCTCCGGAATCGCCTGCTGCAGAGCCCTAGCCATAAAGTACGCTTTCTTCTGTGCACCCTCTCCTCTAATCCTCCAAATGAAGCAGTCTGTGATTCCTCGTCAGCAGGTCAGACCGTTAAGTCCGATCTCCGAGAGGTTTACCCTCTCCCTTGCTCGGAGGAGTGCATTCCTGTACGACAGCCCTTAACCACAGGTGAGCACCACTGTTGCCTCCTCCTTAGGCTTGAGTGCTTTTTTCTTCTTTTTTGTCTTCTTATTTCCATTTCCATTCCCTGGGCCCGTAACCGGCGCCCCGCGTCCGGTCATAGACCCAACTAAAGCAGCTTGCAGACCAGCCACCTGCCGCTTGTAAGTTGTCTGTATCCGAACAAGAATCTTTGTCAAATAAAATTATTCTTTCGAAAACTTTTAATTCCTTGTTTTAAATACAATTACAAGAATTTAACAGGCTGAATTCTTAAGTTATTCGGAAAATATCGCGAATTTACCCTCGTATAAATATTTCCGCGTAACATTACGTTCGAGGACTGTCCTACATTTGCCTATTAAGCCCAGACAAATGTGAATGATTTGATATGTAGTCCTGGCCACATGTTAAAGTTGGAGCGCACTTTACTCTTTACCACAGGTCGCTTCAACGTTTCGTGGAGCAATATCTTAATCTCAGCGGATCTTGTGATCCTGCCGCTTAGGTGGTTGCCTTAGTGGGAATCTGGCATATCAAAGAAGCTTGCACGTAGCCGAAATTCAAAATTCAAAAACCTTGCCTTATGATACACTCAAGTTACTCAAACAACTCAGCGCAATGTAGAACTAATAGCTTATAATCTACTCAAGAAAACCGTCTTGAAAAGGGCTAATCAGTCGATTTGGAAGCACGCAGATCGCAAAACCTCAAAACAAAGCCACAAGCAGTATAGCGATATTTACGCATGACCGATTTTACTAGCTAGCCGTCCCGATCGGAAGTAAATCTCCAGCACGTGTACAAAACCCGAGCACAAGATCTCCATTCGCTCTACTCTCCGTCGCTTGACTGTCAACGCTACTGCTATTTAAGCGCTACATGGCGTAGTACAAATTCTTCCTTAATAGCTAAATAACATGAACAAATATTATTGTTAAAATATGGAAAAAATGGTATATTAAAAAATAATTTAAATATTTACAAAAAATAATAAATCAAATTAAATCATAATTAATAAAAAATCATAGGAATAACTATGTATTCTATTTTTTTCAGAGAACAGATGGAGGAGAAGGGAAAATGCTGCTTCCGATTTTTTTAATCCTCGGCTGCGTGTGCAGTACACTCTTGGCCTACTGTTACATGGGGGAATGTCTCATAAAAGAAGTATTTGGTTTTTCTTAAGTTTCATTATAAATATTTTTTGTTCTATTGAAACATTAAACATTTTTTTAGAGCTCTATTCTAAATGATGCTTTTTATCATTGCAATTGGTACGACAGCACAGAAACGGACAAAAAATTGGTGCACAATTGTATGATGTGTTCAACAAAATTTGTGCGATTGACGTCAGGAAAATTTTGTACCTTATCACTGAATACCTTTACAGATGTAAGCTGTTTACAAATTATGTTGTAAGAAAATTAAAGGTTTTCTTATACTAAAGCAAGAGCCTACGAAGGCCAGACCCTCGTTATTTTATAAAAGCTGAAAGTTTTTTTGTGCATGTCCCCTATACAGGTAAAAACGACCAGCGACTATAGAGTTTTGGTTGTGGTTACTTGGGCAGGTAACAGGTAGTAAAGGTGTAAAAAATAGTACCTTAAATTTGTTAAAGTATAAAGCTTAATTTTTTTATATTATCTTTAGTATAACTGTAAGAATCAAATTATTCATTGCCGGACTCTTAACATCGTGGCAACTTTTTGCCAGACACCCTTAATGTTCATGAAACAAAAGCAGTAGTTACTGTTACTTCATTTTACCGACAGGTACAATATTTATCGTCACCAAGCAGTAGTATCTGATACTTTATTTTACTGACAGGTAAAGGTAATTATTATAAGTAGAATTATAATTTTATGAACATTAAGGGTGTCTGGCAAGGGGTTGTCAAGATGTTAAGTGTTTGGCAATGTATAATTTAATTATTATAGTTATCCTGAAGATAATATAAAAAAATCAAGCTTTATACTTTAACAAATTTAAGGTACTATTTAATACACCTTTACTACCTGTTACCTGCCCAAGTAACCACAACCCAAACTGTATAGTACCTGGTCGTTTTTACCTATATAGGGGATATGCACAGAAGAACCTTAAGCTTTTATAAAATAACGAAGGTCTGGAGTTCACAGGCTCTTAGACTATACGTAAAAAATTCGTTTGTAGGTTATAAAAACTTCAATGGCATATTTATCGGTACTACGAACATTCACTTAAACAAAAAATCAAATCGGATTGTTTCAATACAGTATATTCAATAAAAAGAAAGTTTAAAATTGTTTATAGAAACACGCATTACATATACATAAATATAAATATATACTTATTTTTA